TCATGATTAGGCATCATTGTCATCATATCATCATCGTTGTCAGCACATGGTCATCATTGTTAGAATATGGCGGTCGTTGTCAGCCCATGGTCATTAATGTCAGAATATGGTCATCATTGTCAGTATTTGTTCATCATTGTCAACATATCGTCATCATTGTCAGCACATGGTTATTATTGTGAGCATCATTGCCCAGAGCTATGTATCGTGACTTTTAACGTAGTAATGCTGTAAACAGATTCCATGAACTGTTCAATGGCCCACCACCGTGCCGACTGACACACAAATTTGTTCAGCTTACGTAAATAATCGTCTTTCTCTAGATCTTCGAATTATTGCGCGAGAGCAGTCCCTCAATCTGAAAATAACTAGTACTTCGTCGATCCACGTAACATTCATGTATATTCCACGATTGTAGCAGCACAAATGAGCCTTCGCTCCAAAACAATGTGTGCTCTCTGGCTTTTTTTTTGGCTGCGTGCGGGTCTGATTTCATAGATCCATGCACGTAAGTCTTAGATCTACATCAGGATGGTTCGTCTTGGCGGCCATCCGCACACAGCAGCAGCCATATGTTCGTGTATGTTCGGATGGTCTGTTCGCGCAAATGCTTACGACAGTTTGCGCGCCCCTGGCGCCTTCTGCTTCTTTGTTTTCGGATTTTGATTTTGTGATGCCCACTTTACTCGTGTTTTTTTATTACACGTTACTTGTGATCATATGCCTGACACAGTTCGAATTTTGGCGTATTTTGTACTCCTTTATTGTTGTACCACAAAATGTTTCCCTCCCCCTGGCACCACACATAACTTTTGAGCACCTTTTATGGACTGATCTCACGCTTCACTGGCGCGGAAATGTGGCGCATCAAAACTCAAAATGTCACTGGCTCTGCCCCATGCGGTTACCACCACCCACCTTGCCGTGTTATGCCTATTGACTCGTTACAGCTCGTTGTTGTCATTGGGGCTTTATGACGAACTCAGCTGCTGAGGTTACATGGCGTCGCCTGCCTCATAACCAGGCAGTAAGGGCTACGGGGAATCGAACCCGTACTTCTGGTTTCCCACAGGCGCAGTGGTTAACGCAAGTGGTTACAGTTCAACATTCCTGTAACAAGTAATGCTTTCGTTTGAACCATTCACTTCAATACCAGCAACCAGCGATTGTAGGAGAGGTGGAGGTGGGGGTGGAAGGGCACTCAACATTTCGAGCTAAATTCGTCCTCAAGAGTGGCAAGGGCCGCATAAGTATTGTCAGGGATGAGTTTTTACTTAGTTCTTTTGACATATGAACTTTGAATGTGAATATGCGTGACACTTTATGAAAATGCGAGATGTGAATAAATGCAAATGAACTGAAAGTGGATTGCACCCGGAAGAACGTAGCATACAAATATCCTGTGCCCTTTACCCGGATATTTCCATGTTGGCGAAACAAAAGGCAGTATTCGTGACCGGTCTGATGAATACTTTGGTCACGTACGTTTACGGAGGGCGTACACACCATCATGATACATAGAAGTACGATGTGCAGCAATAGAGCATAACGCGCATCGTACTTACTTTAAAGTAAAAAATTGAGCAACAACATAAGACAACGCGGGCCTCAGTATCTCGGAATCGTAACAGATGCAAAATCTTTGCGCCGGGTTGAACGCACCAGCTGTATCATGGGACCTTGATTACTCATTTTTAAGTCGTGATTTTTCCAGAGTTTAAGGCAAAATTTGTGGTGCCTGATGATCGCGGTAGGTAATCTACTGATCTATTGCCTGTGGGTCGTTGTAAATTTGTGGCTCAGACACCTGTGTTCTTTTACCCTTTAACGCTGAACTGCATGAGGGGAATGGGGAGCTTGGATTATTCCTCATTTTTGACATAATTGAGTGCCGGTGTCCTCACAGATTATGCGTATTTTCTGGATCCACGTGTCTTACCGTTTATGAGTAATATTTTGCCTCAGCTCGTACCGAAGTATTTTGGAAGGATAACACCTCCACGGCCATATTTTCCTGTTGCATTTTTATTTTTTGTCTAGGGTGTCCATACCTTTACGATGTACCTTTTCATGCACGGGCGCCGTGAATTTTCCAACTTTCGGGGCATGATTCAGCCTCAATGGATCAGTCGGTAACGTGCCAGATCCATCAGTGAATGGCCGTGAGTTTAAAGCCGGAAAGGTTCAGCACTGGTCCACCGGTTCACTACGGAATGTGATAAATTGCTGGCAGCCGATGCATGCCATCAGCGTAATGCAGTAGACAGCTCTTTTAAAATTATTGCAACAATTCTAAGCATAACATGTACTTAAATCTTGAATAGTCACTATGGTAACATCTGTGCAATGTATTATTCAGACGCAGGCTACCAAATACCTAGGATAACTTAAGTCCCGGTGCTTATTGGAAATACAAGAACAATCTACAATTGTCTAGTATATTTTTGGCACTACACAGTAGTTTATGCACTGGGCTTCGTTCTACACGGCATAAAATATCCTGTACTCTCTGAACCCTTGCCAGTCTTGAGTATGCGTGTAGCTCGGAATATTGAACACCGCTAATATCATTTTTGGCGCCATAGCATCATTTAGCCAGTGCTTTCTGGGATGTTGAAGGGCGTTAGCCCATGAAGAGTTCTGATTCACAGTTCCTGAAGTAATTCACGTTGATGTAATGAAAAAGGAATAGGCGACAACATTTCTTCCATCATGATGACATTCATTGGACATGAGTGCTTGTTATGGTAACATATCAGTCTAGGCGTAGGAATGTTTCAAAAAATGGGGTGGCCGGGCATTGGACATACTTAAGGGAACTCTGCCTGAGAGGCAAGTCCCGTGACCGGAGAGAGAGGTAGGAATGGAGGACTTTGCACGCTCTTGATTAACATTGCATATTTTCGAGCTATGTAAATGTCCTGGCTGCTATTATAGATGTACACCTACAACCGTGTTCTACTGCTGCGCAATCTGATCTGTTCGGGTTATCCATTCCATTCGGTAAATGAGACTGCTCAGGTTCAAAAACTTCTTCAATTTCAATATTTTTTCCCTTGGGCGGAGAGATTCCAGGAGCGGGTGGGAATAGGGGGTCATTAGGGACATGGGTGTAGGAACAGGGGGCAGGGGGGCCATGTCCACCACCCCCGCGCCCACACTTTTCAAGGTGGTGGGCCAGCGGTGTTAACTGCTCCCCCCCCCCCCCCACCATAGACACGCTTTTCACATCAATGCTGTGTTTGGCTTACTTTTGCACTATATTAGACATACATGCCAATTTACCTGGTTCACCATCCAACTTCCTCAAAGTACGTCATCTCCTTTATCTGTTCATTGTCCACCACTTCGTGTCACAGCCGCAGGGCCGACGCCACGCGGCCCATGGAGACTCCAACGCCGGGTATTGAGGCTGTTGGCGTAAGGGTGCGCAAACTCAAACCATATTACACAGGTTATATCAGTAATCAATTTTGACATAGTCTTGAACATTTTAAGACGAACATGGGTTGCCTGCGCTAATACAAATTTGGGACCACATTTCATCTACGTTCAGGGAGTCCTTAATATCTCTGAAGAACACAGAAAATTACGGAACTGTGGTCGATGTGACAATGATTGGACCATCTGCGGCGGTCAGGCATGTTATTGCGTTAATGAGGGTTTCTATTCTGATCCGGGACAAACTGCGCGGGTCACAAGGCCTCCCGTGTCAGGGAAGGGAACAGCTTGATATGGTATATATTCTAATGGCCTCCGGATCGTCCAGGAGATCCCACCCCGTGTCGCCAGAATGACAGCCAGAAGCCCAGAAGGCACTTTGCGGTGAGACAAAATGGCTCTAAAGCCCTTGACCTGAAACGTTCATGTGCCCCCGGTGTTCTACTCAATGGGTCCTTGCCTGGAAGGAAATGAAGTGTCTTAACATTGTTGAGTAGAGTGGTAGCCTGATGTTGAATAGAGCGGGTTCAAATGAGTTTAAAAGAAACAAACAAGGTCATCGCATGTTTATCTGAGAGCGTCCATGTTTTAGAATGGATTAGTAATGCAAATTACATCGACATGTTTGAACATGCCCGCCTGCAACCTCGAATGTAAGGACAGTGATGGCCTTGGTTGCAGCTTCCGTAAAACCGAACGGCGTCGGTCACTACAAGTATCAGCAGACGGCGGACGCCGTGGTGATGTGGCTTCTGGACAAATTAATGGTCACAGAAGCACGAGCAATAAAGATTTTACCCCTTCTCTTCCAGTTCTACGTTCGGTCATTTTTCAGTCTGTTCATCTGTTCATCTGTTCAATCTGTTCGGCGGCTTGTTACGGTCATGTCATCAATGCGGCGCTCAGAATTTAGCAAGTGTAACTCAGCACAACGGTAGAATAAACATGCACAGCAAAAATCTCAGTTCTGAACGCAAACCAGTAAAACTAACAACGAGGTTTCTCTATTGCACGCAAATTTGAAGGCCAACCGCAATGGAAGGCGGCGGTGCCGTCGACACCACGACGGCCCGCCTACATGCGAGGACGGCAGGACGGCTTCGGTGGCTGTCCAGCCCGGTCACACCGGTCACCGGTCACATCTCTCATGCGGCTGGGTCACTGGCCGCGTCTCTGTATAGGCAGCGTTTCCTCGCAGCGTTCCAGAAAGTCTGCCTGCGATGGACGGCCGCCACGGCACATGTACGGCACGGCACGGCGCACTGCTCGCCTTTGGCTGGCTATCGCTCGCCCGGCCGGCGCACGGAGCCAGGCGCGTGCACGCCGGCATTGCAGAGCGGCAGCGGCCGGCACGACACAAATGCACCTTTTGCAATGGCATCTGCATCGCCTCTCGGCCTTTTGACTAAGACCAAAGAGTAGTAACGGGAGTTTCACCCGGTTCGCCGAGTGGCGGTTTGCGCACCGTGCTTAGCTCGGTCTCGTGCCGCTCAACGGGTACCGTCGTGCCCCTCAACGGGCGCCGGTGACCGGCGCTGCCGACGCTGTGGCTATGCCAGGGAGACCCTGCCACACGTGCTGAACCACTGCCGGCCCCACAGCGCGGCGCTGCAGCGGCGTCACAACGCCATCCTGGCGCGCCTGGAGAGGGCCGTGCCTCGGTTTGCCGGCACCGACGTGCGGGTGAACCGCCGTGTGCCTAGCGCCGAGTCGGCCCTTCGGCCTGACCTAGTGGTCACCCGTGGCGCCCACGTATCTCTCGTGGACGTCACAGTCTCGTTTGAGAACCTGCTGGCTGCCCTGCGCGCCGCCGGCAACGAGAAGGTGGCCAAGTACGCGGGCCTGGTGGCCGAGCTCCGACGCCAGGGCAAGGATGCCTTCGTGCATGCCCTAGTGATCGGCTCGCTCGGCACCTGGTACCGCGGCAACGAGGAGACGCTGCGCCACCTGCGTGTCAGCCGGGTGTACGCCCGACTGATGCGCAAGCTCATGGTGAGCGACACCCTGCAGTGGTTCTGGGACGTGTACGTGGAGCACGTCACCGGGGTCCGCCAATACGAGTGATCAGTGGCCACCGGCCGTGGCCGCTGTGACGTCAGGGTGCCCGCCTCCACCGTCGCGGCGTCTTCCTCGGCGGCGTCATACTCCGCTTCGCGGCGTCGCGGGGTCGTTCTCCGCCTGGCCGGCTGCTGAGCCGCCGGGCCACCGCAGCCACACACGGGCCGCCGGCCGGCCTGCCGGCCCTCCCCTTTCCCCAGTGTCTTGTAGCCCCGCCCCTTTCCCTGGCTGGCCGGCCGGCTGTGGTTTTCTCCTCCCCTGCCCGCGTCCCTGGGGCTTGGAAGACCGCGGCCGTCTCGTCTGGCCGTGATCACGCCTGGGCCGTCGTTGTTACGTCAGAGTCCCATGATCGGGAGGGAGGCTGGCCCGGGCCCCATCCAATTAACAGCACGCTGCGCCGTGCCGGGGATGATAAAAATATGGCCTCTTGTAAAAAGGAACTGTATCGCGTGTAAATGCGCTCCAGAGTATGGAGCGCATTCGTCTTCCTTTTTTCTTGTCCCTGTAATCAAACATGTACTTTGAGGAATAAAAAATATGTTCTTATCAGGTTAATTTTGATCCTAGCCAAAGGCTATTTCAGGTTTAAATTCCCTTTTTCTACATCCACGCGGCTTACAAATCTAGGTGATGACGCCTGGCGGCCAGCAGCCCAACTACTCAAGCCCACCAGAGGACGACGACGACGAACAAGATCCTCGGACAAGCCGCCGATGAGCACGAAACGCAAGGTGGGTGCACGCGCCGACTTCCGGCCTTCCGCTTTTCCCCTGTTTAGGCCGTGTTCCTGCCCTAAATAGGCCAGGAAAAAAATACATGTGCATACAAACAGCTTGTGCAGCAAATGCAAAATCAGCATCGAGCGCCGTTTGAGAGTTTTTTGGAAAAGAAACTTGCAAACTATACGTGCGAAAATGTTTAAAGTTACACCATCGTGTTCACCGTGCGATTGCGCGTCGAATGATATATAGCAAAACATTAGTGCGTTGCTGGAAACATATAGCATTCTTGATGGCATTAAATTTCCATGGTTTTGTTTCTGAGAGCCGCTCCGTTTCAAAGCAGATTGCCGGTGCAGACGATACACAGTGGTGGAACAAGCATTCAGTGGCGTTGTTGTCAACATGAGAGTGATGGCAAATGTGGCCGCGGCCACTTTGATGCGAAAAACGGCCAATTTTAGAAACGGACGTTTTTTCGTCCCATATGAGGGCCAACATGAAATCCAGCACGCTTACAACTTGCAAGCATGTTCAGATTGAAAACCGCGGTTTTTCGGCTAGTAAACTGTTCTGAACTCATATCTAACGAAGCAATGAAAATCGAAGGGTACCTTAACTTGAAAACGATGTGAGCCGATGTTACCAATTGGCGAAAACCTTTTTCGACGCTGGGTGCCGAACGAAAATATTTGGGGGGGAGGAGCCATTAAGAAGAAAAAAATGAAAATTTTACAACCGCGATTTTGTCATTTCTGAATGAAAGGGTATGGTCCAAGTAGTGTGTAAGTACAGTGGCATGTGTTTCTGTGAAGGCAAACACCTTGTGCAGCAATGGCAAAATCCGCATCGAGCGCCGTTTGACAGAGTTTTTGGAACTAACATGCAAACTATACGTGCGTTAATGTTTTGAGTCATACCATAGTGTTCGCGGTGCGATTCGCGTCGAATGATATATAGCAAAACATTAGTGCGTTGCTGGAAACATATAGCATTCTTGATGGCCGCAAAATTCCATGGTTTTGTTTGTGAGAGCCGCTCCGTTTGAACGCAGATTGCCGGGGCAGACGATACACAGTGGTGGAACAAGCATTCAGTGGTGTTGTTGTTAACATGCAAGTGATGGCAAATCTGGCCACGACCACTTTGATGCGAAAAACGGTCCATTTCAGAAACGGACGTTTTTTCGACCCATATGAGAGGCAATATGAAATACAGCACGCGTACAAATTGGATACATGTTCAGATTGAAAACAGCCGTTTTTCGGCTAGTAAAATGTTCCAAACTCATGTCTAACGACCCAATGAAAATCGAAGGGACCTTTAACTTCCAAACGATGTAAGCCGATGTTTCCACTTGTTGACAACATTTTCGCTCACCCTGTGCCGACCGAAAATTTGGGGGCGCGCCATTTTTCAAAAAAGCTGAAATTGTCCCAAACGCAATTTTTTCATTTCTGAATGAAAGGCCACTGTCCTATTAGTGTGTAAGTGCAGTGGCAAGTGTTTCTGTGCAGGCAAACAGCGTGTGCAGCAATTGCAAAAACAGCATGGAGCGCCGTTTGACAGAGTTTTTTGGAAATAACTTGCAATCTATACGTGCATAAATGTTTTAACTTATACCATGGTGTTCGCGGTGCGATTGCGCGGCGAATGATATATAGCAAAACATTAGAGCGTTGCTGGAAACATATAGCTTTCTTGATGGCCACAAATTTCCATGGTTTTGTTTCTGAGAGCCGCTCGGTTTAAAAGCAGCTTGCCGGTGCAGACGATACACAGTGGTGGAGCAAGCATTCAGTGGCGTTGTTGTCAACATACAAGTGATGGCAAATCTGGCCGCGACCATTTTGATGCGAAAAACGCCCCAATTCCGAAACGGACGTTTTTTCGACCCATATGAGTGGCAATATGAAATACAGCACGCGTACCAATTGGATTCATGTTCAGATTGAAAACAGCCGTTTTTCGGCTCGTAAAATGTTCCAAACTCATGTCTAACGAACCAATGAAAATCGAAGGGACCTTTAACTTCCAAACGATGCAACCCGATGCTACCACTTGTTGACAACAATTTTGCTCACCGGGTGCGGACCGAAATTTTTTTTGGTGAGGCCATTTTGTGGAAAAACTGAAAATTTTCCAAACACATGTGTTTTATTTCTGAACGAAAGGGCATCGCCCAACTAGTGCAGTGGCAAGAGTTTCTGTGCAGGCAAACAGCTTGTGCAGCAATTGCGAAATCAGCATCGAGCGCCGTTCGAGAGTTTTCTTGGAAATAACTTGCAAACTATGCGTGGGTTAATGTTTTAAGTTATACCATCGTGTTTGCCGTGCGAATACGCGTCGAATGATGTATAGCAAAACATTAGTGCGTTGCTGGAAACATATAGCATTCTTGATGGCATTAAAATTCCATGCTTTTGTTTCTGAGACCCGCTCCGTTTGAAAGCAGATTGCCGGTGCAGACGATGCACGGTGGTGGAACAAGCAATCAGTGGCGTTGTTGTCAACATGCAAGTGATGGCAACTGTGGCCGGGGCCACTTTGATGCAAAATACGGCCCCATTTTAGAAACGGACGTTTTTTCGACCCATATAAGGGCCAATATGAAATCCTGCACGCGTGCAAATTGGATGCATGTTTAGATTAAAAACAGCCGTTTTTCAGCTAGTAAAATGTTCCAAACTCATGTCTAACGAACCAATCAAAACCGAAGGGACCTTTATATTGGAAATGATGTAAGCCGATGCTACCAGTTGTTGACAACATTTTTACTCACCGGGTGCAGACGGGAACTTTTGGGGGTGCAAATGTTGTACAAAAAAATGAATATTTGCCAAACGCGGTTTGTCCATTTCGGATGAAGCGCATGGTCCAATTAAAGTGTAAGTGCAGTGGGAAGAGTTTCTGTGCAGGCAAACAGGTTGTGCAGCAATTGGCAAAATCAGGATCGACCGCCGTTTGAGAGAGTTTTTTGAACAAAACTTGCAAACTATACCTGCGTTAATGTTTTCAGTTATACCATCGTGTTGCCGTGCGATTGCGCGTCGAATGATATATAGCAAAACATTAGTGCGTTGCTGGAAACAAATAGCATTCTTGATGGCGGGAAATTCCATGGTTTTGTTTGTGAGACCCGCTTCGTTTGAAAGCAGATTGCCGGTGCAAACGATACACAGTGGTGGACCAAGCATTCAGTGGCGTTGTTGTCAACATGCAAGTGATGGCAAATGTGGCCGCGGCCACTTTGATGGGAAAAACGAGCCATTTTAGAAACGCACGTTTATTCGACCCATATCAGGGCCAACCTGAAATCCAGCACGCGTACAAATTGGATGCATGTTCAGATTGAAAATAGCCGTAATTCGGCTAGTAAAATCTACCAAACTCATATCCAACGAACCAATGAAAATCGAAGGGTGCTTTAACTTCCAAACGATGTAAGCCGATGTTACCACTTGTTGACAACATTTTTGCTCAACAGGTGCCGACCGAAAATTGGGGGGAGGGGGCCATTTTGAAAAAAACTGAAAATGTACCAAACGCGATTTTTTCAGTTCTCAATGAAAGGGCATTGTCCAATTAGTGTGTAAGTGCAGTGGCAAGAGTTTCTGTGCAGGCAAACAGCTTTTGCAGCAATTGGAGTTTCAGAATCGAGCGCCGTTTGAGAGTTTCTTGGAAAAAACATGCAAATTATACGTGCGTCCATGTTTTAAGTAATACCATCGTGGTCGCCTTGCGATCGCGCGTCGAATGATAAATAGCAAAACATTAGTGCGTTGCTGGAAACATATAGCATTCCTGATGGCCGCAAATTTCCAAGGTGTGTTTCTCAGTGCCGCTCCGTTTAAAAGCAGATTGCCGGTGCAGACGATGCACAGTGGTGGAACAAGCATTCAGTGGCGTTGTTGTCAACATGCAAGTGACGGCAAATCTGGCCTCGGCCACTTTGATGCGAAAAACCGCCCATTTTAGAAACGGACGTTTTGTCGACCCATATGAGGGGTAATATGAAATACAGCATGCGTAAAAATTGGATTCATGTTCAGATTGAAAACAGCCGTTTTTCGGCTAGTAAAATGTTCCAAACTCATGTCTAACGAATCAACGAAAATCGAAGGGACCTTTAACTTGCAAACGATGTAAGCCGATGCTACACCTTGTTGACAACAATTTTGCTCACCGGGTGCCGAATGAAAATTTTTGTGGGGAGGGCCACATTGTCGAAAAAATGAAAATATTCCAAACACATTTTTTTCATTTCTGAACGAAAGGGCATGGTCC